TCAAGCCATCGGACTACATATGATGCATGTGTACTATAGTACTAATGTGGTATTATACCATTGAACAAGGTACTCTGGAATCCCTGTTAAATGTTAGCTTAAATAGCTGAGTAAATCATACCTGGAGGTAGTTTCCACTTGAATGCTTAATGTGAACTTTACTACTATTATTATAATTGTTTCGTTCAATGTAAAATGTTTCTCTAGTGGAAGGTACTCCTGCTGTTGCCAAAGCAGAATCCCCTTCACCATTACAGGTTAGAAACTACCCACTGAAAGAGCGCAATTGAAATCCTGTGTCAAATACTCTCCCTAACTACAATAAAAGAAATTACCAGGATAAACAATCTTCATACATTAGAGTTTTCTCTTTAGATTTTATACATGCACATGAATCCCTATAAAATATTATTATATGGTTCTAGTAAATAATAGAAAAAGAAATGATTCTTTTTTATTCAATCAATAAATTATACTTCTTAATAAGAATAAGTTAAGTCATAATCAAAGACTTGAAAAGAAAAGAGTGTTAAGTAAAATGTCAGATCCAATAGCAATACTCCCAAAATTGCTTGGTAACCTATTTACAAAAAGCAAGGACAGAGCCCAAAAACAATGTTCCCTGTTAGCCCCTTGCTTTTCTAGCTGGTCCGCAAAAACAATGAGGACTTGGACTTACTTGCATTTCTTGTGTTAGCTTTGATGTGAACTCCCATGGTGCTTGTAGCAAAACAACGAGCTCTAAGAATTTGAGAAGAAACAAATCCAGAGGTGGAAGAGGCAAAGGAACGGCCTCCCGAGCTCCCAGTCAACTTGATGATTCAGGTCACTGGTCTTGTGACCATTGCACATATGCCAATGTTAAGTTTGCAAACATTTGCCAAATGTAGAGCAGAGTTAGAGCTCTTTAGGATGTGGAATCAACCTTTCATGAGCTATTTATCATTTTCAACTAATTAGCTACCGTGGTTATGTAGTGGAAGGCACAACTCCAAATATGTGGATGGAGGCATTGGATCAAATTTTGTGTTAATTGTATTATGCATTAGATCAAAGTTTTTGTTAATTGTATAATTTATATCATATGAATTTGGAAATTGTAATATATTTTTAACATAGTTGCATATGAATTATAGGTGGAATGCAATTTTTATCTTTTATAATATCAATGGGCTCACATATTGACATTTTACATGTGTATTTTGTTTAGATGATTGCCAATAATTATTATAATATTTGCAACAATTTATTAAATTAAATATCAACAATTAAAATGATAATTGTCAATAGTCAAGGTAACAATTGTTTGATTGTTGCTACTTCAATAATAGTTTGGAAAAACTGATGCTACAAATAAGCATAAGAAGCAATTGTCTAGTTATTGTCAATTGTAAATTGGCAACAATTAATGTGATTGTTGTATATGAAACTTTGGGGGAACAATTGCTTTATTGTTGCTTATTCTATAGAAGGGTTGTTGCCTAAGATGCTAATTAGAGACAAATATTCAACTGTTGCAAATTTATAATTAACATCAGCTAGCATAATTGTCGTCGAAGGTACCATTGAGCAACATTTGTTGCTAAAAATTTATATGGACAACGATTTTTATTAATTGTTGCTAAAACAAAATATTTGGCAACAATTCCATTTGGTTGTGGCAACACTTTTGCTGCCAACAGTTGGTCTAGTATATTTTGTAACAATTAATTGTTGTTAAAAACTTTTAACAATGGCTTCGCTAGCCACAACTTGTTCAGTTGTAACTAAAACATTAGGCAACAGTTTTTCCTATATTGGAAACAATTTTTGACTGTTGCCAAAGGTCAATTTTCTTGTAGTGAGCCCAACCATGGTGGAGTGTGTTATTGTGAAGGATGGGAACATCGTCAGTGAAGGGTTTCATCCAAAAGCAGGGCAACCTCATTTTCTCTCTGTTTGCCTTTTTTTGTCAGGTTTTTGCTTAAGTTTTAGTAGGTTATTACCCGTAGGTCTTATTTTTATTCTTGTTTTTGTACTACTACTACTACTGAAGTAGTTGTGAGAGGAGATGAATGATGCAGGTTTTCGCTTTGAGGAGCGTTGTGGATTCGTCTGAGGATGCTACAACATATGTGAGCTTGGAGCCTTGTAACCATTACAGGAGAACTCCACCCTATACAAAATTCCGAAGAGAGATGGCGTCATCGCGGAGATGAATGCCATCACGGCTAGCACGAGGGACTCGAAGGAGAGAGGCACTGCTCTGCTCCTCCAAATACGCAACAATCTCTTTGAACATCATCTGCAACTTCATTTCCAAATCTGACAAGTGCTTCTCCACTAGGTCTTGAGGGTGCCAAGATTGGCAGACCACATTGATCCATTTCTTCGCATCGAATTTCTCGTTAGAAAACGATCCCAAATCAGGTGAGCCTGAGCCTGCGATTCTGAGTGAGAATGAGAAGTGAGAAGATGGAACAATGGAGAGAGAGAGAGAGGATTCACCGTCAAAGTTCACTGGTGGTGTCAGTGTTGAGTTCACCTCTAAGAGTGTTCGTTGGTTTCCTGAGAGTGTTCGCCTCAAGTGGAAATGAGATGAGTGAGAAGGGTTAGTAGGTTTAGGATTATTTAGGGTTTAAAGTTATATAAAAGTTGCGTCGGGACAGTGTGCGTTAGTGCACTTTTGTTTTCTTGCTTGTTTCTGGCTATTTTGGCAAATCCTGGGCTCGACCAAAAAAAAATCAAACTGGGCTTTTAGGCTCGAGGTCAAGCCTGTCTGTGGGTCGGCCGACCTATTGGGCTACCTGACCCATGAATAGGTCTACTATCAATTCCATTACAATGTTAACAGTCTGTGATAATCAAAAATGACATTAGTTGAGTTATAAAGAAATTATTTAAGGGCCCACAATTTAATGATGAATGTGATAGTAGTGAGAATATTATATATGCAATTGGGTCAAGTCTCAAACTCAGGTTTTAGGCACATATCCAATCAAAATTTAAGCACATGCTCAACCCAATCAAACTCAAAAAAGAGGCCCACAACTGGCCGTACCAATAATCATAACTCAAAATGCCAAATCAGGGCAATGTTTGGGAGTGCTTATTGTTTAAATAAGTACTTACTAGATAAAACAACTCGAGTGTTTGGTGAAAAAATGCTTCGTTCAAATAGGGGTAGTATAAGTATTTTGATAATTAGGTGATGGGTTAAGATAGGCTGGAAACATGATCACAACACTGTCCAAACTAGACATGATAGTCGCACATCAGAAACATCTCCCATGAATGACAAGAAAAGTGTTATGGATGTGCGGTTGCAATGGTTTGTTAGGACAGTGTTGGGAGAATTTTGTTGGTGGTAGATCCCTACCCCCTGCTGCATCGAGTTTGGGTCAACTACCAACTCATGGTGTTAATAATATCCCAACTAGCTATTGCAACCGTACATTGGGAACATCTTCCCATGAATGACAAGGGAGATGTTTCCAATGTATAGCTGTAGTGGCCTACTGGGACAGTATTGGAAACATTTTGCTAGTGAATTCAGATTGTCTCCTCACAAAATGTACCTCACACTGACCTCGTGGTTTGTATCAGCCTTACATTGGAACATCTCCCGTACTTTAATATTCATGGCAGATATTCCCAATACATAATGGGATATGGTTGTGAGGTAGGTGTGAGGAGCAGATCCAAATTCTTTATTGGTACCATGGTTTTTGAGCCACTGTTCATCGAACAGTTAGACCGTTTGGCCCAGGAACCATCTAGGCAACTGATTATGTTTTACCCCAAATCTGGTCTTTGGCCAAAAACCATTGAATTGGTCAATGACCCGTTGATTTGGGCAATCTAATTGTTGACCCATTCAATGGTTTTAACCATTTTTTATTTTTTTTAATTTTTAAAATTATTATTAGAATGAACCATTCATTCAAATCGAATGGTTAAACCGTTGGCCCAAAAACCAATGACAAAAACGGCTCTGGTTCCGGGTCGTCTTTTTAAAACATTGGTTGGTACCGTAACCCTACCCTGCTGCATCAGATTGGATGCCCTCACGCTCGGCCAGGTGGGTTGGCTTTAGAAGTCGACGATACTTTCTCCTTTCCCAAAGGCCCGCCCAAGCCAAAGCCTTGAAAGCAAGTTAATCAGCGCGACAGGTATAAATCTGAAGAAATCTAGAAAATTCCAAAACAAGGCAGCCGACTTGTCCAAATCCCAATGCATATTCCATGGCATTTCCGTAATTTCATGTCCATTTCTATTTCCTTACGTATACGGTTTAAATACACCATTTTAATCCTCCCCCACCCCCTCAAAATAAAAACAGAAAATCTGATCTCCCACTTGTATCCATCCATCATCAAGGTCAACCAACCATCGAGAAAACAGATGGACTAGATTTAGACTCTACCGGATAAGTCACTAGGATCATTCACACCAGAACATCTCTCCATATGCATCGGGCGGTTCTGAAAAGGACACGAAGGCGTATAAACATACGTATTACGTACAGCAAAGAAAGTACGGTGTAGAGAAACATATCCACCAAATTACACAAAATAACCGAAAAACCGTTCCGATAAAATGCGGATATCGTGGATAAGCAAGCCTGTATGACATCATTACCCTCTTCCATGAGGCGGCTGTCCAAAGTACAACCACATAAGCGCAGGGGTGTTTTCGTCAATACGGGGACAGTTTCGTCATTTTACGTTTCTCTTTTTGAGTTATTTTACCAACAACAAAAGGAAGCTGGGTTAAAGTTTCCTTTATGTCATATTTTTTTTGTAAATAAAATCGGAAAAAAAAAGAAAAAATTGTGCCGGGAAATACTTTAACATGCTGGATTCCGCTATCTGACACACACAGCGCTTCCTAGAAAATGCCTTTTAGATTCAGACATTCGATCCCAAATTCGTAGAAATAGAGAAAAAAGGAGGAAAATAAAAAAAATCGATGGAAAATGAAAAATCGAGATTAAAAAGAAAGATATAAAACTGGTAAAAAACCTTTGTTTTCCCCCTTTTGTCTTCTGGTTAGATCGGTCTGTGTGACTGTGTCTTTGGGGGCTTAAATAATTTCCTCCGAGGGGAAAAGAAAAAAAAGGAAAAATAAAGAAAAAGAAAATACATCTCTCTCTTTGTTGGACATCAAAACCAGAGGTTTACGGGAACCGAATCGAGCTCGTGAGACCGTTTGAGACGATCTTCAGCGAGAAAGGGTATTCGGGAGTTGGGAGATTGTTGACAGTGATCGTGGTGTTAAGAGGTGTTAGGGAATTATTCTTTGTTATGCGTGTGAGGGTTTGGTGGGTTCGATGGGAGATTGCGATTCCGTCCGATCACGCTGGATTTGGAAGATCTCCTTGTGGGTTTTTATGGGGTTTGGCTTTCTGAGGTGGGTTTGAGAAATTTTTGTAGTTCGGCGGATGTCGGATTTTAGGGAAGGAGGTTGTTTTGGGGGGTAAATTGAGGGTTTGTAGGGGGGAATTTTGATGCTCTCTGTGGGGAGTAGGGATGGGAGGAAGGGGTTAGCTTTGGGTTTTGGTGTTGGTGGGGAGATGGACGAGACTGAGCTCGAAGAAGGCGAGGCTTGCTATTACCAGGATTACGATAGAAGCGTCGACCCTGATGTTGCTCTCTCTTACATCGTAAGGGGGATTATTCTGAACAAGTTTTAGTTTTTGTTCCCCTATTCATGGAAATTTCGTGATAAAATCTCTCTGTGTTGCTAAGAATTTGTATTTGATCATTTAAAATGACTTGGATTGAGCCCGAAACTTTGAATTCTTCATACGGTTTTGAGTGATGTTTTCTCATTTTCTGGGAACTGTAAGCCTGTAATCCGTTCTTTTATTCATGTGTTCTGGTTGTGCAAGGTACGTTTTTTGAAGTTTAGACCTTTTTTCCCTCTCTTAGTCATGAATTAAACCCAATTCATTTGCTGCTGCCTTTTTTGAAGTTTAGGAATTAATGTCGTCTAAAAGGTAATGTCTTAGAAACGGAACATGGGAACCCTTACTTTGCTTTTCTCAAGAAACATTGTGGATGCTCATTTGGGTGGGTTTCAGACACTTTCAGTGTGAACCATTAGAAGTTAGTTCTTTCTTTGATCAGTTCTGGAGTTAGAGAAAACAAATTTATTGGTTTAATTCAGTTTTACACCCAACTTTTTAGAAACTGAAATTTGTATGACCAGAATAAGTTACTTCCATTTTGCACACGAGGCGTATCAAAATATGCATCTCTTCCGTGTATAAGGAATGCCTTTTTGTACGTTTTTCCATCTTCGAGCCAACTTGGTTAGTAAGAATTTGAAGGGTCTCTCTATGCCTGCACCTTGGTATTCATGGAACAGTCAATCTGACCAGTACACTTGTGACAAGTTTGTGAAACAAAGTTGGCATTGGATATGATGCATGCCCAGCATTTTGGTTTTTGAATATCCACGACTTTCTGGATTTCTTATTGGCATTTAGTCGTTTTTGCTTCCTAGTTTTTATTTTTTGCTTCTCCGTTTGTGTTTTCGAGTTTGATAACAGTATTGAGAGTTTGCTTTCTAATGCATGAAGGATGAGAAACTTCAAGATGTCCTGGGACATTTTCAGAAAGACTTTGAAGGTGGGGTTTCTGCAGAGAATTTGGGTGAGTGACCCATGACTTAATTGTATAGATCTAGCATAATCCAAATAGAATTGTAGGACATTCTTCATACTCCTTCCTGATTTTTTTTCTTTGAATTTACTTATTTTGACAGGGGCAAAATTTGGTGGTTATGGTTCATTCTTACCAGCCTATCAGCGTTCTCCTTCTATCTTGTCTCATCCAAGAACTCCACAGAAAGTTCATAATTATAGTACACCAAGATCTCCAAACAACTTGTCATCAGAGGTATAATTTTTTAAATTTGCCACACAGTTTCTTCTTATTTGTTCAACTCATAGAGATGAGATAGATGTCATAAATACCTTTGCTGGCTAGGCGATATCTTGTTCTTTTTTTTTTTTTTAAGCACTGTGGATCATACCACTAGTCTACTATGCAGGTTACCCGCCAAAACTCCACAGTTCCATCAAGTTCGTCTTTCCATGCGAGGCCTGGACCTGCTTCTTCCAGTGCTGCACCACCACCTGTTTCAAAGGCTCCATCAGTGGATAACTCCATCAAGAGAGATGCGTTCTTGTATTCTTCAAGAGGTGGTGGGGAATCTACTCCCAACCAAGAGTTATTGACCAAGTCAACTAATCCAAGTGACCAGAAAACACTGAAGGTTCGGATCAAAGTGGGTTCTGATAACACGTATGCTCGAAGAAATGCTGAAATCTACAGCGGTCTTGGCCTTGATATTTCTCCATCTTCATCGTTGGAGGATAGCCCTGCTGAAAGTGGAGGGATACTTCCTCAATCTCATGATACTCCTGATAGATCTCCCACAAGCATACTTGAGGTAGACATCATGCTTTTTTTATCTTTTATTGTCCATTTCTGGGTGGCATTCAAGTGATTCTGCAATGCTTATTCTCTGTTGGTGTTGTTAATTTTTTGAGCAGATTATGACTTCTTTTCCAGTCCCTGGTAATCTATTGTTGTCACCTCTTCCCGATAGTATGCTCCACTTGACAGAAAAGGAAAAGTTTGTAGGAGATGGTAGATCTAAGCGTGCATGCAAGGGTAGCCAAGATGGTTCTTCAATGGAAGTGGAGGACCCATCTTCTGTAAGAGGGGATGGGAAATTATTGGGAGAGAAGAAAATGAAGCCATTGGAGAAAAATGGGAGGTCTGTAGAAGTGAAAAATGCAAATGTTAAGGATCCTGGAAATGATATTAGTTCCATCTTGAGAAAAGAAATAGACATTGAGACTCCAGCAGGCAGGGAGCTTGTTTCTAATGCCTTGAACATTTCTATTTTGTCCAATTCAAGATTTCCAGCTGGAGATGCAGTAAAAGGTGCTTCTAAGGCATCTGATATTTCCAGGGAAGCCAATAAAGAAGCATTGAAAGATAGGTACTTCTCCTCTGATTTTGTGAAGGAGGAAGCTGTGGAGTTGATTTCTAGCCAGGATCTGAACAGGGTTGAGAAGCGGAATTTGAAGACTTCTTCAACAGGCAAGGTTTGGGAAGACAAGAAAGAGATATCTCACAAGGATGCTTCCTTTGAACGTAAGAAAGATAGGAGCAAAGATGACAAGGCCTGTGACCCATATAAAGTTGAATCCAATGCATTGAAGGGAAGGAAAGATGTTAATGGTGGATCTATTGATCCTCCAAAATGCAAAGTTGGTCTGAAATCTACGTCCCATGAACAGGATGGGGTTAAAATGCCTCAGCAGAAGGAACAACAGTCCTCCGGGGGCAAAAGGAAATCAAAGGGAAGTCAAAGTAATGGCATGCCACCTGCAGAGCTCCAGAAAGAAAGCTCCAGAGTTGATTCTTCTGCTGCATTGAAGGACAAGAAGAAGAGCACTTCTGTTGGTGAATACTTGTCTAAAAGTAAATTAGATGGCCCAAAATTACCTAAGGAATCAGGAAAGATCAGAGAAACTTATAAAGATTTACCTGGGGATGTAAAAGCAGAACCATCAGAGAGCAGAACGGACTTGGTAGAAATTCCTTCTAAGGATAGGCAGAAGGATTCAAAGTTTGAGACTTTTGATAAAGAATTCCATACATTTGCTGACAAAACAAAAGAGCGATCAAGTGGTAAAAAAACTGATAGCTCATTGACTCCTGTCACATATCAGAAGACAGCTCCAATCATTGCCCCTCCTTCAATGGAAAATGGACTCATTTCTGATGGGGCTTCTGCAACTGCACCTCCTGTACTCATACAAGACAATTGGGTTTGTTGTGATAAATGCCAGAAGTGGCGACTCCTACCATATGGAATAGACCCTGGACACCTCCCCAAGAAGTGGAAGTGTAGCATGCTTAATTGGCTGTAAGTTCTTTTCAAGTAGTACTATAGGCTCTATTAATATATGATGATGTGTAATGAACTATTATGCCTGTATTAATAATCTTTAAGTTTTAGTCAAAATCCTTTCTGGTTCAGTAAAAAACATGGTGAACTGGCAATTTGAGGTAAGCTTGCAAACAGTATCCATTTATTTGAATTCAAATTTGAAGTCAATCAATTTAGGGTTGATCCTAATTCAAAAAGAGTTATTTTGTATCTATTAGTAACACTGGTTTGAGTGTTGCATTTTACTAAAAGGTCACATGCTTAAGCTTTGTGTAAATTATTTTCAATTCATTTTGTTAATAATACACAATATCAAAGTCATTTTAGTTCATTTTATCAATAATACAATATTTTGATCTTTTTTAGTTTAATTTATTAATATTATTCTATATCTGATTGCAATTCAAATTTGATCCGCACTGATATAAATCTGATGGATAAGATTTGATTTGAATTTTAATGAATCAGATTTGGATCTAGGTATAACCTGATTCGATCCATTTGCAGCCCTAATTTGAGGTTGAACTGCTGGTCAAACATTGAAAACCACAGCTAGCCCCCTTTTGGTTTGATATTTGGTGCAGTTACGTTGATTTTGATTTCTCTAGTGCTTAGGATTGCCCGTGTGTTTTGAAAAGTTCGCCTTCAACATCAATAGTTGTTACCTTGATTGTTTAAGGTTTAAATCAACAGTTAGATATAAATCTAGTTCTTGAAGGACAGAGGAGAAAAAGTAGGTTTGGCCCTCCAGTGGTGGTAGGTATTTACTCACCAAAATCACAATCCTGGCTTTGTAAGTGTTCAATTTGATGGATATCTGGTTAATGTGATATTCAAGAGATAATCCATCAGGAAATCTCTAATGGTGTTTTATGGTTGAAAGGTGCACAAGTCATTTCAGGTCTATTTCCTTAATGATAAATACCTTCGATGGACTACTCCCCTTTCTCTTTTCTCTCTCTTTTTGGACTGACATGCGCTATTAAACCTGGTTTCTAGGCCTGCTGGGATGAATCGCTGTAATATCAGCGAAGAAGAGACAACAAAAGCTGTGCAAGTTCCTCTTCCTCTCCCAGGGGATCTGCAAGGTCAGCCTGGTTTACCAGCATCAGGGCTAAACTTGGCTGATCTGCGACATCTTGACCAGAACAATCAAGATTCTAGTTTGCTTGGTTTATCTGCTGGGGGGAAGAAGAAACATGGGCCGAAAGAAGCAAATGCAGTTAGCCAGACTGGTTCCATGAACTTCCCTAACTCATCAAAGAAGAATCAACAGTTCTCTGTGAAAAGTAGAAGCTTAAATGACGTCACCCAGTCTCCTTTGGAACCCAGTCCAGCAAACAGGCCTGGCTTTCAGAATTTAAGTAAGTCAGGTGACTTCACCAGAGAGAAGCATTTGCATAAACAGAAAGAGAAGCACAAGCAGGAACATTATTTGGATGGAGGTATTGTTCTAAAATCTTGCATTTCTTTGTGTTTTTCTCTCACCTTTCTTGCATGTGTGTAATTGTTTTCTTGATACTTGTTGCCAGCAGGTGATGTGAAGCATTCTAATAGAAAGAGGGAATCTGATCAAGATGGACTTAGAACTTCAAAGAAAATTAAGGACGATTCATATTATACTGATGAAGATTGGAATTCTGACCAAGTAGGGCCCACAGGGAAGGTGCTTCCCTGCTCAAGTGGTGGTTTGCCAACAAAACCACCTGGAAAGGATCTGGAGAAATACAATGATTGTTCATCTTCTAAGGACTCAAAGTATGATGCAAGAGACGGTACAATGGCTTCTGTAAAGAAGCTGAAAGATCAGGTTTTGGATGGGGGGACCTTGGATATGGGTAAAAGCAATAGAGTGGATAATGCTACAAAGAAGAGGAAATCGAAGGAGTGGCAGGAAAGCCAGATTTACTCGGAGGTCTCCCCAACTAGGGCACATCATCCCCATGACAGCAGGGTTCCAGTGAAGGAGGAAATTAGTGAGAATGGACGTAGAAAAGAAAAGAGACTTAAGGTGTCTAATTCTGATGGGAAGGAGTCAAGTACAAGTAAGGGTGATGGAAGAACGGAGAAAAAAGGGAAAGTGACCCGAATAATCTTGTCTGGGAATAGAGATCAACCAGTTGATGGAACGAATGAGGAAGGCATTAGTTGTATTGATAAGGATCAACAACAGGGCCATTATCGAGGATCACAACGAGCCTTGGATGGTGTAGATTCATTGAAAAGGGATCTAGGGTATGGGCAAACTTCAGCAGCCACCACTTCAAGTTCATCCAAAGTTTCAGGCTCCCGTAAAACTAAAGGCAAATTCCAAGAAGTGAAAGGCTCACCTGTAGAGTCTGTTACTTCATCTCCTTTGAGAATTCCCAATCCTGACAAGCTTATATCGGGAAGAAGAAACATGCCAGTGAAAGAGGATACCTTCAATTTTGGTCTCTCTGACTTGGGTAGCCCAAGAAGATGCTCCGATGGTGAGGGTGATTGGAGTCATCGGTCTGCAACAGTAAAGAAAGAGAAAACTTCTTCTGGTACTAATCGTGGATCACTGGAGTCATCTATTCTTGATGAGCAGGGTAAGGATGTTTTGAGCAGCAAAGCCACAGCTCAGGCTGAACCTTCTGAATTTGGAAGCACCCATTTAGTCAATAGGGGTCCTAGTGACCAACAAAACCTTGTCCATGAGGAGGAGAGGTTGAACAACAACTACCATTCTAATGGTTCTATCCCTCAGAAGTCTGGGAAGAATTCTTCTTCGCGGTCTAAAGACAAGCACAGAAGTTCCAAATCTGATTTTGATAAAGGAAAAATCAAGGTATCTGATTCATTCAATGAGCAGGAGGAATTGTATTCAGGTAAGAGCTCAAGATACGAGGCAGAGACTGAATCTCACCATCGTTCACCTTACCATGAAGAAATGAGGGATGGGAAACACAGCTTTCAGGAAAAGTGTAGTTCTAAGCTTGATAAGGATGAGAAGGGTCAGGCAGTTAAGAATGATCATGTAGGAAAATGGGCAAGTGAAAGTAGTAGGCGAGAGGTTCAGTCAAAACATGGAGGACATGAAGGTTCAGATGCAAAATTGGATCCCATTGGCAGTAAAGATGGAAAGTCTATTCCACAGCAGGAGCGTGAGGGTGAAAGACCCTCAAACCGATGTTTCTCTGATAGAATTGATCGAATGGAAATACCCTCAGGGAGAACAAAGTCACAATTGTTCCCAAATTCTGGAGAAAAACAAGAAAGACAGTCTGTGTCTACCCGGCCAGCATCTGGTTCCCAGACAGGAAATGGATCAGAGGTATTGCCAGTTGATGCCTCTGCTGGTGGTGATGTATTGAAAGCTCCAAAGCACCCTAGGAAACCTGATAACCAGAATGGAGCTCATCATAGTAATGTGAGACATCCCACGCCTAATGGGATTGGAGTCAGGGATCTCGATGCTCCAAGTCCACTTAGAAAGGATTCTTCCAGTCATGCTGCTGGTAATAATGCCTTAAAGGAAGCCACAGATCTTAAACACACTGCTGATCGACTTAAGGTATTGATACATGAACCTCTCTCAAATTTTCCTTGCTGCAAGCTTGATGTCATTTATCTGCTTCCATATTTCTAATTTCTCTCTGACTAAACCATCCTTTTGTAGAACTGTGGTTCAGTTCTTGAAACTACTGGGTTATACTTCCAGGCTGCTCTGAAGTTTCTTCACGGGGCTTCCCTTTTGGAGTGCAACATTGAGAATATCAGATATGGGGAGCAAAATCAGTCGATGCATGTGTATAGTACCACTGCAGCACTCTGCGGGTAAGTTATATTAAAGCTGCATGAAAGACCTTTGCTTCTAGTGTGGCTTGATTGTTACGTTTATCTTCTTTTAAAAAGTGATTTGTGTTCATAGTCAATGTCATAAATACTTATATTCTGTTTTCAGTTGATTTGTTTTACATCTTTATAAGCCGGCCTTTGTGGAATTTGTTGTGAGATGCTTCACAGTCTGCACATTTCTATTGCAATAGCAGTTATGACATTTATTCCTATTTTTGTTTTGCTGCTCTTGGAAGTGCCTTACTTTGGTAATTTTATGGTGGAGGCATTTGTTTCATTACAATGCAGCCCAAAATAATTGCTGTCTCATTGCCCTTGTTTTGCTAGATAGTCAGCTAGCCTGTTGGCAGTCCTTCGGACACATTTGAATTCAGCCTCAACCTCCTTCACAATCTTTTCCATTTCCCTAATCACATGTTTAAAAGTCCATGGAGACTGGCTGCTGTTTACAGCCTAGGAAATGACCACCTGTGAGTCTCCTTCCACCTCAATATGCCTGAATCCCATCTGTTTAGCTAGCTCCAAACCTTCAGTGAATTCCCTGTGCCAATCGGTCCTGAGAACACAGCCAGTATCCTCCTTTCGGAATTTTTGATTACTCCTCCTATACCCCCGAGTCCCGGATTTCCAAGGGAGCTCCTATCAAAATTCAGTTTCATTTTATTGCCTTCTAGTGGTTTCCACTCCAACCTTACTTTGTCTCTCACTCTTGAGGACTATGGTACTTCAGTCCAGGTTCTTAGAATGTCTGTGACTCAGAAAGCTATCCAAGGATTTTACCCAATGAGCTACTTTCACCTTGATGCTGTTAAATACTTCCTTTACTATTCTGCTTTTCTCTAAGAAGATCCTGTTATTCCTTTCTTCCCACACCACCTAGCATATTGTTGCCATTGTAGCTTTCCACATTACCATCCCTCTTTTCTTTCTTTGTCTTAGGAAGTCGCAGTTGAAGAGTCTTGCTACATCTTGAGGGGGAGCCCACTTGCAGCCGAAGAGAATACAAAAGAATTCCCAAATTCGATGCACAGAAGAACATGATATTAATAAATGAGATAGGGTCTCACCACTTACACAAATAGCACACATGAGGAGAAAGGCAAGCATAAGGCCTTCTTCTCTGTAGCATTACCACAAGTGTTTACCTTGCCAAGGAATATTTCCCAACAGAAAGCTTGAATTTTCAAGTGAATAGGCTTGCACCAAATTTCTTTCACAAGGAAATCCCCAACTAGGGGGTTGGGGAATGCAAGTACTCTGAAGAAAGAAGAGCAAGAGAAGAGACCATTTGAAGAGCCTACCCAAATTCTAGAGTCTTCCAATGACGGGTCCAAGTGGATTTGCCTTAGTAGGTCCAACAATCGGATTAAAGATTCACACTCATGTTCCCAAATTAGATACAGTTTCTCCCTAAGTTTGAACGAGCAAAGAGATTGGGAAATTTGTCTTTAAGTGGGGTTTCCCCTACTCAGAGGTCTTTCCAAAATAGAACTTTATTACCCTATCCCACATCGAATCGGATGGAGTTGGGGAAAGTAGCGTAGACTTCATGAATTGCTTTCCAAGGAGAGGCTAAAGTAATGTGAGGGGAACTTTTGCATCCCAACCATTTCCATCCACCCCATGAATGCTCTCAATCACTTGGTGCCACAGTCTATCACTCTCAAAAGGAAATCTCCAAAGCCACTTACCTAGTAAAGTTGTGTTCCTTATTCCTAAACCCCCTTGTTCCTTGGGTTTTCTAACCTGCTTCCAATTGATCAAATAGTCTTTCCTTTCATCTCTTGGATCCCAAAGGAAATCTCTCATGTATTTCTCTAAGCACCATGCTACCCTAGGAGGGATTCTAAAGGTTGAGAGGAAATAGGTGGGGAGATTTGCCAAAGTGGCTCTAATCAAAGTTATTCTTCCACCCAACGAGATATAATTCCTCTTCTACAGGGCTAATTTCCTATCAAACCTTTCTATGACTGGTTTCCAAAACCCATTTGACCTAGGGTTTCCTCCTAAAGGTTGACTTAAGTAACTAATTGGCCAATTTCTGATCTCACACCCAAGATTTCAGCATATCTTAGGAGTTCCCCTTCTTCCAAGTTGACCCCTACAGTACCACTTTTAGTCCGGTTTATCCTCAGCCCTGTCGCCCCCACAAAATTAATCAACAGCATCTTCAGGTTTGCCACGACTTCCTCATTATTTCCTTCGTAGAAAAAGATAGTGTCATCTGCAAACTTGAGATGGGCAACAACCACCTAGTTTCTACCTACCCTCCAACTTCTAATTAGGCCTTGAATATTAGCTTTTTCCACCATCTTGCTTAACACTTCTACCACTAGGGTAAAAGGGAAGGGGGATAGGGGGTCGCCTTGCCTAATTCCTCTCATAGCTGGGAAGAAATATTTTGCTACACCATTGATTAGGATTGAATAATGAACCGGACTTAAGCACCCTTTAATCCAAGATCTCCACCTAGCTCCAAAGCTCAATCTTTCTAGTGTTTTTAGGAGGACTTCCCAGTTAACCAGGTCATAGGTTTTTTCTAGATCTACATTACATACCAGACCCTTTTCTCTACTGTTTTTTTGTCCCTACAACACATTCATTGGCCACCAAGTTTTGATCCACAAGCTGCCTTCCTTCCACAAAGGCACCTTTGGAATGGAGAAATGATCAAGGGTAACAGAGAAACTTTGTTCTGAGCACAGTTGTGAGTGAATGTAATGGGGAGAGATAAGAGATTTTATCTCTCACTGACGTTTTACACATTGTATCTTTAATTTGTACAATTCCGTCTCCTTTAATAAAGTTTATTGTTAAGTATTATCGATAAAAAAAATCCTCCCTAGTAGCCCCTTGTTTTGATAGAGTGTCATCAATTTGCTGACCTTCTAACCCACCTAAAACTTGCCCCAATTTCCCTTTTTGGTCCCTTAATTTTCCTCACAATCTGTATATGGGTCCAGATACCCAAGCTATTTGTTTCCATCCACCCTATTACCAATTGAGAGTCCCCTTGCATCTCAATCTGTTGGAGGCCCAGTGTTTATCCAATCTCAAGCCTTGGCAAAGGGCCAAGACTTCAGCTCTTAGTGAATCTCCTGTCCCTATTGGTCCTGAGAATAGAGCCAGTACTTCTCCTTGTCTGTCTCTTAACACTCCCCCCAATACCAGAAGGGCCTGGGTTATCTAATGAGCTCCTATTAAAGTTCAATTTCACCCTTTACTGTGCTGAAAGGGTCTAGCTTTCCTGAGAAGTAGGGTTTGTAGAAGAGGAGCTTGCCATTGCACTCCAGCCCCTGATTATATCATCAGCTGAGAACTCCTTGAATACATCTCCCCCTGTTACTCAGCCCTGGAAGTGCCCAAGCTTGCAAGAGGCCCAGGCATTGCCCAGCCTGCAGTCTTGATGTAATGACACCATATTTCAGCAGCAACACGGCAGTGGATGAAGCAATGGTCCATTGTCTCTACCTCCTGCCCACACATGCAACAAGTTAGTTCCTGGACTTGCATCCCTATACTTGATTAGTTTCCTTGGTAAGGCACTTCCCAAGAGCAGCAGCCCAAAGCAAGAAGCCCACCTTTGAAGGCACCTTAGATTTCTGGACCACTTTTATAGGGGAAGGAGGCCTGTTTAGAGCTTCTCAAATTCACTGCAAATAATTTGACAGAAAAGTCAGTCACCATTACTGCTCCACCTCCTGCACCATTGATTACCGTAGTCATCCCTGGTAGCTTTGTCCTTCAACATTTGAAGCAAACCAGATGCACTTTTCAGCTCCCAATCATGCTAGTTTCTTCAAAATCTAGGCATCCAAACTGCTTTCCCTCAACATTCAAGTAGAGCAACAGTGGCTTCCCTATTTTCAGCAATCTGAAACAGCTGAGGGAATATCACCTCCAAGAGCCTATCCGCATGCCAAGGATCTTTTCAGGAAGATACACTTCATCACCCACTTTGTAGGTAATGCCCTTAAGGGAAGACATTATAGATATTCATGATACCCTTCCAGAGAGAATGACCATAAGAGAGGAAGTAGCCCAGTTTCCCCTTCTTTAATCCATACTTAACAGCAATCAGGCTCCTCCACCAGCCAACCCACTTCCCAAGAAGAGCCATATTAGACCATGTTTGGGAGTGCTTAAGTTAAAAACATGGTCATTTCAAGTGTTTATTTCAAAACACTTAAAAACATGTTTGCAATCAGGCACCCAACTTTTTCAAGTGTTTATTTCAAAAAATAAGCACTTATTTCATATTGGGCTATTGGTAGTCTTTTTCTCCAATAAGCACTTAAATAAGCATTTGTGACTATTTTGTCTTTCATTTTCTTTCAAATTTTCAAAATATACCCTTATGAAAGTACTTTTATTAAATCACTTTTATAAAAACACTTTTATGAAGGCACTTTTACAAAAGCAGTTTTATGAAAGTACTTTGATGAAAGCACTTCTATAAAAGCACTTTACGAAAGCACTTTTATAAAATTCAACTAGGGATAATTTTATAAGTGGTATTTTAAGATCCAACTAGGGATAGTTTTGGAAAAAATAAATTGAATAAGTGCTTATTGTATAAGCACTTAAAAAAAGCTGGAAATTTGGGCTTAAAAAATAAACCCCTATTTTTAAATAAGCACTTATTTTGGGCTTATTTCCAAAATATCAATAAGTGCTTAATGGCCCAAATAAGCACTTATTTTTAAGCACTCCCAAAAATGGCCTTAAAGTCCTTTACTCTTTTCACCCCTAAACCGCCTTCCCCAAGGGGAGCACAGATGTGGTTCTGATTAGCTAAACGCATTTTCTTCTCCTGCCAGCCTTTCCAAAGGAACTCTTTTCTAAATATTCATAATTATTTTATCCACTTTCATAGGGATTGAGGACAAAGATAAATAGTAAGTCAGGTGGTTAGATAGGGTGCTTTTGACTAGAGTTATTCTTCCTCCTTTGGAAAACCAAGTTATTAAGCATTCCCTGAAACAATGATCAGCTTCATGTCAGTGGTTAATTTGAAGGTTTTTCTTGGTGATAACATTAAGGTTTAGCTAAGCTCATCTTTCCTGACATGGCATGTCAGGCAGATTGAGTGTGTTTGCAGCAATTCTTTGGTTGTGGACAAGGTTATTTACACTTAGAAGAGTCTTAAAGTTCTTTCAATTTTGATAGTGGTTCCCTGGGCTATTTGGGAAAATGGTATAATTTCTGGGAGAGATAAGATGGTAGAGTTATTTACTCTATCTTGTGTTAGGAGAAGAATTTCCAGTTGCTCCAGGGCTTTTGCTTTGCTCCAGAGATTTGTGGAGCTTCTACTTGCTTTCTGTTATTGTTGAATAGGATCTAAGGATACTATTGGGTGGATTTCTAATGATGGAGACACTATCTGATGCTTTCTGCTGTACTAAGTTTAATACAATTTTTTTTTTCTTACATGGTCCCCCATAGAACATCTTGATCTCTTGAGCCTCATATTTTGCTTGATTTCCATAAAAAAAGTGTTCTGCTTGATAGTTTTGGAAGAATTTGAATTGGGTTCTTGAGGATCTATCATGGCGCACCTTGTTGATCTTTGTTGAGTAGACTTCCTCCTCTTAGGTTGGCTATGCTTTGAGGTTCCATGATGATAATTCATTAAAGAAGACACCAACTGAGAGGTGGCTCGTTGGTGTATTAGCTGGTTTGTTCCAGCAGTGATGCGGAATCAAATCCCGCAACCACCACCTTGGGGAGAAAAGGGGTCAAGGGGAGGTTTAGTGGTGCATGCACCGAATAGCGAAAAAAAAAAGAAAAGAAGAAGAAGAAAAGGAAAATATATATAAACGAATACCAACTCTCACCATCACTGCAGGGGGCTTAATAGCCTAGGATACACAAGAAAGCCCTGAAGCTTGGGGAAAAACACTCATGAAGCATTAAAAACAATTTGGAACAAAAAAAAGTGCAAAATACAAAACCAACTCAAAGCATTTAAGCTTCCATCAATGAAGACCTCAGCCACCTAAGCAACCACCTCCCCCTCCCCAACCTGGTTGCATGGTTTTGTCTCCGTCTCTGATCCTTTTTCCCCCTTTTATTACTGAATCTTCCAACCTCCCCCTTCTCTGTAAATTGTGAATTTGCACTAAAGAATAAATTAAATAAGTTGACATACATGAACATTATAATAGTATTGACAAAAAGGGAGAAATATTGTTGATCAAAAGAAAGGGAGAAATATTATATGGTTAGTGTATAAGTTGAAATTGGGTGAACTTGACTAGGTGTTTAGGAGGTGTGTGTCTGACTGGTTTAGGTCCTGTGAAGACAAATGAGGTAGCCGGGTCCTAGGAGGAGAGCGAGTAGGAGAAGTGTGCTCACTATTGGGCATGTCTGCCCAAAGCTCCTTTGTCCTGGTCTTTTGATTTTAAAAATAAAAAGGGTAGAAGTTGAAAGCAATAGCATATGATATCCTGGAATTTGTTTGAACAAGTTTCATTAGTGATTGACATGTGTATATGACACTATCTGGATTAGCCAAGTTCAGAAAATGAAGTTAGATTATAGTATTCTGAAGCTTATATTTCTGCATCATTATGCAACTATACTTGACTCCTTATTAACAATGCCTTCTTATAAACTCTAGATTTTGTGCTCGTGAATATGAAAGATGCAAAGAGATGGCTGCTGCCTCTTTGGCTTACAAATGCATGGAGGTGGCATACATGAAGGTCATTTATTTCAAACATTCCACTGCAAGCAAAGACCGTCATGAGTTGCACACTGCTTTGCAAACGGTTCCTCCAGGTATTTGGATAACACCCAAAAGTTTGAAACTGAAACATGTGATAAAAAGCCTGTTTTGATCTTTGCTTTACTTCAAGATAGTTGCAAACATTCCTTGAAGTGGAGTCATCTGAGCCATAGAGTGCCAAAGGAGGTATTGCTACTTAATAAAAAGGTTCAAATTATCGATACGCCTGTGTATCGGCAGACGTATCGGTACTAAAACCATGCGCTTATATGTTTTTTTTAGTTTTTTTTTTCAAAATTTGGTTTTTGGGTAGGTTTTTATATGTATTTTTTTATAAAAGAAGAGGGTTCCCGAAACACCTGTAAACAGGTGTTTTGGAACCCAAAAGATTCGATATTATATGCCCGATATAGGGCGTATCGTATCAAAATTTTGATCCTTGCTTGAGAAGATAAGAACAAATGAGACAATACATGCAATCTTAAAGTTCTTTGTTAATAGGAGTTGAAAATGGATTCATGAACAATGTAACTGTTGTGATAGTAGAAAAATGTAGCTCCTAATTATATAGGTTTATTTTCCCATTCAATCTCTCAAGGCCTTTTGAAGACGAACAAAACATGATATACAGTTGGAATAGAGCAAATTATTTCATGTTTTTCCATGAACAATATTCAAATATCTGTTTTATAAGATTGATTACCTAAAATAAAGTTGAGCAGATACTTCGAAATATATCATTGAAGCACTTTTCTCACTCAAGGCAAGTGCTAAGTTTGCATATATTCATTTCACCGACAACAGTCACACCTTGGCCATGTGCCACAGATGCTTCTCCTGGTGTGGTGCACTTTTGGCACTTGACCACCCAATTAACATATGCATCAATCAAGCAACTATTGTTTTTCTTTTCCCCGGTTCATCAGTCACACGTTATGTCTGTTAACCAATCAAAAATGGTTTAGGTTTGTTAAAGGGATGTTTTCCTCAGCTCCTTGGATACCAAATACATGCTGGAAAGTAGGTGATCTTCCCTAGATTAGAATGTGGGACATTCACATTAGTGGTACCCGCCTATATACACATGTGAAGATAAGTGGAACATTCACATTAGTGGTACCCCCCTATATACACATGTGAAAATAAGGACAAAGAAAAACAAAGAGGTTCAATAAGGAATCTTCAAATCAGCAATTATCCTGTTCTCTAGTAAGTAATAGATAACACATTAATCAGTTATCACTAAATCTGATCAATTGGCAACCATTTTTCCACCAAATAAAAAAAGGGAAAAAAAGAAAAAAGGAAATATCTTTTAAACATTGATGATCTTTTATCATGTGGCGACTTCTTTCTGAAAGGGGTTCTACAGTTGTAAAACATTTGGTTTGCTAGGATTTGGAACCACTTTGACAATCAAAACATGAGTTGGGAAAGCATCTTCAGGGTATCTTGGTAATTGTATGCCAAAATGCATTTGACTACTTAAGCACCAATAGATCTATGAAGTAGCATTGGCTGTTGCCACAAAAGATTTGCTTTCTATGTTAAATTCTCAATACTAATTGACTTGTGCAAGAGGTTGTGGTGTGTTGTGCCTAACGTGGATAGTTCCTCTCTCACACTATTAAACTGGTTGAGTATAGTTTAATATGAAGAGATTTCGAAAAACTAGTGTTTTGTGAAGTAATGATGAAGAATGCATTAGTTTGTATGTGTGCATCTCAAGAAAATTTATGTGAGTGGTTGTGTTTTCTTTGTGCTTTCTTTTTGCCATTATATTGCCCACCTTATTCAACACTTCCACCATTGCCTTGTCATACAGTTGTTGTTCAAGGAATTGTTCTGTATTTTCTCCTCAGAACTTGCCTTTTTTTTTCCTACTGTTTTTACCTATTTTCATTTGTAATGTGCCTTTCTTTTTTGATGTGACACTAGTTTAAAGTCTTCAGTAATAGTTTTGTTGCTGATATTAACCTGTATTTTATCTTTGCCTTAGGAGAATCTCCGTCATCATCTGCTTCAGATGTCGACAACTTAAACCACCAAGGGTTGCAGGATAAGGCTGCTTTAACCAAGAGCACTAATTCACCCCATGTTGGTGGAAACCATGTAATTGTTGCTCGTAACCGTCCCAGATTTGATGGACTTCTTGACTTCGTAAGTTCACTCAATCCTAAAGTCTCTAGTCTCTACTTCATGGAAGATCAGGTTTGATAGAAATACATAATAAGTAATGCCTGCTCTACTCGAGATGCCACTCCATGTGGATATCTTGAACATTAAATGCATTGGCTAAAATGGGCATTACAAGCTGGTTGGCACGTTCCAGGAATGACAAAAAAAGGAAATTGCTGCTCGGCAGCTATTCCGTAAGCAGTTTTGTGTGCTATGTGGGTTTGAAAGAAACTTAAGAGTGTTCAAGCAGAAAGCAAGGCTGGAGGAGTAATCAATTCTGCCTGGGCGCACCTATTAAATCTCTTCTTTCCTAAAGATACTTCCCATTGTAGCACTTATAGTCACATGATTCACACCTAGGAAGTTGCATTATAAGATCCATTATATTTTTTTTGACCGTCTAATTGAATAAAATGGCTTAAATGATATTTTATTTGGATAATGGTTTTAGGTGGGTTCTCTGATACTGGGGCCCATCCCCTGGTGCTTTTGCCATATCTACTAAGGTTTTAAAAGGCAGACTGAACTGAAGTGGTTGATGAAGAGATGAGGTTTAACCTTGAAAATTAAAAAAAAAAAGTGGATAAATTCACAAGTCAAAAAATGACAAAAAAGAAACTAATATTAAACTGTTAATGTATTGCTTATATGGTTTCCCAGTTTTCTAGGCCCTTCAGTTTCTGCTCTATATTGGATCTCTATAATATGAAGACCCATCTTGTCTTTCATAGACATTGAGATTTGAGAATATTAAAAGAAAAACATCTCACATTTTCTATGTACCAATGCACATCCATTTCAACGACAATTCAATTTTCAGCAAGAACATCAAAAGAAAAACATCTTACATGTCACATTTTATATGTACTAACGGACATATGTTTTAATAATTCACAAATGACCATATGGATTTAATTGAATATTTGAACATGATTATTGGCTGAAAGCCTGAAACCATTTATTAAATACCATTTGATATTCAATCAAACAGCATGTTAAAACAGAATTTTTCAAGAATCTGTGGTAATTATAGAAGCTAAAAGTTGGTGGGTAGAAGGGCTGTGTAAAAGGGGAAAGCTGGTCTGAAATTTGGCCCTGGCTGTGGTTTTTTGGTGCTAGTGGCAGGAAAGGAATGCAAGGATTTTTAAAAATAACAGCAGTTCTACTGACTATTTTGTACATGGAAATCTTTTTGTAAATCTGGGTTTGGAATTGTAATGTGCAGGGGAAGTTTTTATAAGCCCTGGGTACAGAAACTTATTGTACATGTTTTGTTTTGGGTTAATATATTTCCATACCATTACTTTCTTCCAAAAAAATATAGAAGCTAAAAGTGTAGAAAACAGATAAAAACTAATGTTTCTGTGATGGCCAGTTGAGAAGCTTGCCAGATGACTTAGAGACAATGTTACAGAAAAAACAGGCAACCAAATTTAAGAAATAGGAAAACAAAGAGTGAAACATGGTGTTTTGAGAAGGACCAACTTACTGATTCATAAGCATAGAAGCACAAAAAACCTCATTGAATCCTACAGATTTTAGGTATTCTAGAGTTTTGTATCCATTGAAAAAACACCATTGATTTCATCGAGTATCAAGAGAGAGTAATGGAGAAACCAACTGTTTTTTTGTTTGAAAGGTAAAGAGAAACTCATTAAAAAGAAAAGAGAGTATAAAAAGAAGGTGATAAGATATCACCCAAGAGGAAGGGAGGGAGGGAGCACCAATCTCCCGCCTCCACATACTCTGAGTCTAAGCCAATTTCATTGTCTTTTTTATTTCTGAAAAATCCCCAACTGAGAATCTGATCTGTTATGAACCCAAGAGTCCTCACCACCAGCATCTTCTTCAACTGTTCAAAGAAAAGAAAAGAGAGTAGGGCTTCTTTCTCTGCGTGTGTGTGTTTAATTTATTTATTTGTTTGTCATGGTCAAGAGATAAGAGGCCTACTAGGGAATAGCTACTGCAACCCCCCCCCCCAAAAAAAAAAAAAAAAAAAGGTGGCTGCACATAGAAAATAATGGCCAGCTGCAGGAAAATGGAGCTTATGCCTTGTGCTTTGAGGTCTACACCTTGCAAGGTCAAAGACTTAAGTCTCAAGTGAACAAATGGAGCTATAGCCTACTACTATTGCTTTATATGCATGAGCATGCGGGCTGGAGAATTGGCTTGATACACACTTTATAATATTTGCCTAGAGTATGAGTGTCTTCAATTTTGATTGTAGGCTAAGGAAGCAGCTTCTGCAATGGAAGCATCAAAGAAGTCAAGGAATGCTTTTGCAGTTGCTAATGCGCATCGGGAAGAAGGCCGGTGTGTGGAGGCTATCTCCTCTGTTAAGCGGGTCCTTGATTTCTGCTTCCATGATGTGGAGGGTTTTCTGCGGCTTGTACGGCTTGCCATGGAGGCTATTAACCGTTAAAAACAGTGGTAGTAGAGAGACTGTCAACTCTGTGAATATGTTGTGCTTCTCTGGTCTGTTTCCTTGGGTAGGCCTCAAGGAGGAAAAGAAGCGGAGTTGGATCCCCTGGACGTAAATGTAAAACTTTTGAGAATGTACTGATTGCTCCAACTCAGCGCCTCTGTATAATGTGTACAAAATGAGATTGATTTGCAATTTTTATAATGTATTCTTTGTGAGCCTTTCGCTGGTTTTTTGATATGGACGAGGGTGTAACATGCCAACCAATAAGTTTTGAAGATTGGATGAGGAGAAGTGCCTCTGTTTGAGTTAAAGGCTTCTGTCACAAGGGTTGGAGGAGATAACAGAAATGCAGTTATATGGCTCCATCCAGGTCAGAGCTGGAGATGATAGAGAGATTTTGAACCTATTCAGAATCAGTAGAAGGCGGCCTGAACGCTGATGTAGTTAGTTCTGATTGTTCCTTTTTTTCCTGGCCATCTGTGAAGGGCTTCAAATTTTGTCTTTTTTATCTTAAAATTTATTTGAGAATGGAAAAATGAAGGTGTTGACGGTGGTTGCCTACTTGTTCTTGAAATTTCAAGCTCTTCATTGTGCCTTTGAATCTCTGTTACGATATTCCTGCAATCCTTGGGGCAACAGAGGAAGCAACATTGGGTAGGTTCATGTTACGTTTCACTATTATGCAGATGCTTCTCTTTCTTTTCATTTGTTTCTGTTATTTATAATAATTACATGTTCTACTTGTCTATAGGTTGCATGATTATCTATTGTAGCAGTTGGGATGGCCAATCTGTCGATAAAGGAGACAAGTAGGAAGAAGTTATGGGCATATATATGCATATATTTACTGAGAGTGAGAGGGGGAGGGGAAACGGGAGGGAGACAGAAGACTTGTGGTACTGAGCATGGTGTTTACATTGTAGAATTTACCTGTGGAGTTTGAGTCATGCTCCTCTACTGAAAGGTTAGCAAATTTCTCGTAACTCTCAAAATATATATGGTGCCTTTCTGTTTATTCCCCATGTAGCATGATTGTTTATGTACACACTTTATTTGTTTTGTTTTGATTTCAGGAGTATATAGTGGCTATTAAAGCACGGGAGAATGTTCTTTTGCTGAGATTATCTCCAGTATTTGATACTGGTTCATTCATGGCAGTTATACCTTCCATATTCATTGCAGATGGTTATTTGTCAGCATGTGGGTTTAGCTTATGACGTGTTTGGAAGCCTTTGGCCAAAATGAATATTTTACATCGAGCCGATAAGGAATTCCATTATAAATTATGTTTGTGCTCATGCCTCACTGCTGGCCCATGGGTATGAAGATCTCAGAGGTAAAAGCTTCACTTTCACTCAAACATTATCCCAAGCTTGCTGAATTTTTGAAGTATCATTGCTCTGGTTAAACTGTAGTAATCCAAGTTGCTTCTTGGAATCATTATGCCATAGTTGCCCTAATGCACAGTTTAGATTTTGTTATGTGGTAAAAGCCGTATCAGTTAAAATTAGTCTTTATTTTGTATACGAAGTTGGTGGTTTGTGTCGGTGTTTTAAAACTGAACACCAAAGGCTGGTCTGTTTTCCATCCGGTTGGGTCAGCAGTTCAACCATCTGGGTCAACAGGTGAAGCCATGACGGCATCATAAAAATTTCAAAAAGAAAAGAAATGCAAAACCTGGCAACCCACTGAATGTTTTGGACAGATCAGTGGTTGAAGTTGAACCATCCAGGTTGACAGGTCGTTTAGTGAATCAAAGGTTTTTTATAAAATAGTGGGTTAGATGTTGACCTCAACTGGTATTGTGACCAAGCCCTATTGGCCCAGTCAATGGCAGTTGAAAACACTGGTTTACGTTTGAATGGTGTAGTGGGTTATGTCAGTATGAAGCTGGTCTGGCTGCCCCGAGGGGTGAGGGAATCCTTTCCGAGGGAAGCTGGATAGAGGCAAAAACTGTGGCATCTGACTCATGTCAGCCTAGTCTTACACTTCAACAAATATCGATTCTTAGTTTCCTCCATTGATCATGTTTGTGTGATGAGTAAATATGTTAGTCACAGTTCTGTGTGGTTTTTATTTCAGGTAGGAAAAAGAGTTGTGACAACAGTAGCGGCAGCAGGAAAGGGGCGACAGCTGAAGGGCATCGACAAAGTATTTCCTTTGCACTGTGAATGAGAAAGCAAAGTTACAATTCTCCCCCCTCTTCATGATACTATTATCTGTGTCTCCACCTTGTCCTACTTTCACCTCCTTTGCGAGTGTATCATAGAAACAACATTGATTTTTTCGTCTTTATAATAAGAAAAAGAAAATTTACCATCACCTTGATGAAACTATTTGCAATTTTGCCACCATTACGTTGAGCTTGTATGTTAGAATACATAAACGTCCTGTCCCTTGCATAGAGTCTAGAGAGGGGGATTGAAAGTGAAGTTGAGCTTGGTGATTCATATGTCCAAATCCTTTACTTTTTTACTGCTCAAGGACATGATCAATCTTTCTGGTGGAGCATAATTAACCAAGGAATCACCCACGTCACACTATGGTTTGAGGTAAGTCCCAGATTGATCATCCATCTGCTCTTTGTGGGTTATTTCCGGCTTAAAACCCTTTTAAATTAAAACAGTGAAAGTTTTGGGCATCTCATGTAACTGGGGAAATTCAATGCTTAGTTGACTGCACAGCTTCAATTCGTCACTTTGGATAAGACCCTCGACTTTAATTATACAATCAAAAGGCATTATTATTATTATTATTTTTTTTTTCGCTTCAAGAAAGGCATTATTAGTTGCTTAATTAATTTTTTATTACTAGCAATGCCAAACACTACCTAATTGACTTGGGAATCTTACCTGTTGTAACTTATTTATGGGATAAATTTCAACCCAATTAAAACCATGCTACCAGTCCCAAATAATCATCACTTATTTTACGTAATAAAACCAAGGGAGTGGTTTAAGGGATTGTATGGTAAGTTGGTAACCAACCCAACTTCAGTTTCACTGAAAGATGAAGCAATAAGTCATTCAGTTCACCTATTTCAGCTGTTTTCAAACAGGACCCAAGTATTTGTCTGAAATCCCAGGAGAGGAGAGGAGAGGAGAGGAGAGGAGAGGAGAGATACAAGTGCTTTGCCCAAAGTCTCCAGACAAAAGGAAGGGAAAGTTTGGTCAATTTGCAAGACATTTCAACAACGAGAATATGCTAAAGGAATAAGGCCAGCCATCCGATTGAAAAGCTGGCTCTAAACCCTTCAAAAGTACATTTGCTTGCAAAGAAAAGAATGGTTTCTTTTGGAAGAGAAGGATTAGTTTTGCTTCCTCAGACCTTCGTTTCTGTCAGCTTTCTCTATTTTACTATAACTTTCTTCTCTCTTTCGGCTTGGGTTCCCTTATCATCCAAGCAAGCTAGGAAAAGTTTAGTTTGAGCAACTCACATCCAGTCAAAGCCAGTAAGCCACCAACCACTAAACTATGTGCTGGAGCCATGCCATTGGATGGGCTTTGGTACTACCCACTGAACCTCGCAATGGTGGGCCCACAGGTGATGGACGTCCGGATTTGAAAACCCTTGGACTGGAGCCCGTGAAACCAGTCATAGGCCCACGTGTAATGCAAAGAAAAAAAGGAGAGAGAGAGAGAGAGAACAAGTGGTGAAAGAGACAGACAAGTGATCTATCTGAACAAAAGGGGGCATCTTGGGTCTGAGTGTGGGGTCCCATATCACGCAAGTCTCTTCCATCTGCAGAATAAATTGGATCACAACATAAGTTTTATTCTGAGTCTCAAAACCCTAAACTGCACTGGACATATGGCCTGTTTGGTAGAGCCCAGATCATCATTCAGGTTCGCCTATGCCCCGAGACCTATCCCAAATGGAAATGGAAATCTCTTTACAAAAGAAGACAAGACATGATTAACTAAAGGTTCCAACCATATCAAGAATCTGGTACCAACCAATTCTTCTGATGCAGCATTGAAGGCCGGAAGCTGTCTTCTTACATGAGACTGATGTCAATGAATAATTCTCTTATGAAGTGGCTCTTAACTGGGGGAAGGGAAACCCTTCTGATATCAGATAGCAACCTACTTAGTATCTATAACCTTTTCTGTATTTTCATATGTCCCATCTGATTCCAATCCACTGGTGAGAAGTCTCATTGTGTGAGGTCCCACACATAAAATTGTGCCCCCATCCCAAAATAAAAATAAAATTAAAATAAAGAAAAGATAGTACAATTCCTCTCTCAGTCTCGTACAATGCCTATCTCAACCTGGAATAACCTTCTCCAAAGCAAACGTGTTGAAGAAAATGGAAACCCTAATCCATGGTCTTTATCTGCAGAGAGGGAGAGAATGGATGGACCTGAGTGTCTAAAGCTATTGCTTTTCTATCTTCTCTTCTCTTTTAGTACAAGGGCTTGTCTGGATTTTCTCATTAGACACTGATCTCAATTTTTGTTTCCTCTCTGTTTCTCTATCCAAATTAAAGGAGACAACCCATTAATAGACAAGCATATCTTCCTTGTCCAAGATAAAGTGGAAGTGGAGGGTCCAAACAACCTAAGAATCCTGTAACTTGGCAATCAAAGTTATCCTCATTTCTCACTACCTTTGGAGCAGGTCATCAACTGAGGCAAGCAACCAAAGTATCAGTGTTTTAAAACCTGACCTGAGCAGGAGGTTAAATTAAAATGTTACTACAAAACAACAGAACGACCAACTGAACGGGTCAGACGGATCAATATCAACAATTTAACTGTTGACTGAATAAATAACTAATAACTTAGAGGTTTTACTTCTATAATTTAATGAAATTTGCAGTCACAATGTATCAATGTTTTCTCACAATAATCGTTTTAATTTGCAATATATTTTATATACCTGTTAGAGAAGAAAAACCTATATAGCATTTATTAAAAAAAAAAGAAAAACCTATATAAGGACCTTGCCCAACACCTTAAGCTTTTAAATTGAATAGTCCATGCCCCCATTATAATTAGGCTAAATTGCTGAAACATCCCATGAAGTTTTTGACCGTTGCTGAAACTTTCCCTGAACTATATTAATTGCAATCACCTCCCCTGAGCTATCTAATACAGTTTCAAGTAGACCCCCCTCTGGTAGAATCTTCTTAAAAAATGCATTAAAATGTCCAAAATACTCATGTAGTTATTATTGAAGTTGGTTTCTACTGAAAGAAAAAGCAATACAAACTTTACTATTGCAGCTTTACCTTGGAGTGATTGATATGAAGGGCAAATTTGAAAAAATAAATCAATTTCAGTGAAGAGAAATTTTGGAAGATGAATGTTTTTGTTAAAAGTAGCAGCATGAGTATTTTGGACATTTTCATGCATTTTCCTAGAAGATTTTACTAGAGGGGGTCTACTTGTAACTATGCCAGAAAGTTCAGGGGAGGTGATTGCAATTACCAAGTTTTAGGGGAGGTTTCAACAACAATCAGAAACTTAAGGGGAGATTTCAAAAATTTGCCCTTATAATTAATTAAGTTTCAGCACAGACCAAGGTATGAGTGGGCCTGTATTCAGCACAAGCCCAATGGACTTTTGCATGAGGGGACATTCTATGACTCACTCAATGACAACTAGGGGTGTCGATGGACTGGTTTTGGGTTGGACCCAATTCAAATCAAAATCAATTTGGACAGATTGAACAGACCAAAAAGACATATTGAATTGGACCAGTTCAGACTTTTAAGGTCCAAAATATTTATTGGATTGGATTGGACCTGATCCATTGGATCAGATCAAACCAATATTAAGTCCATTGATAAAATATAAGAATACAGGTGTCCATGGACCAAGTTTGAATTGCAATAAATCTAAATTAAAAACCAGATTGGACAGTCCAGACATTGAATTGGACTGGTCCAAAATGGTTCAAACTTCAAAGTATTCATTGGATTGAATTGGACTCAGTCAAATGGACTCATAATGGACCGGATCAAATTGGACCAAATCTGGTCGAATTGACACCCCCAATGGCAACCGGTTGTAGTAAGAACAAAAGGACAAAAGGAGGGGCCCTTGGTTTCCATACAGGCCTTTCCTGGTCAAGTCTCCCGATGCCACAGTCCACATTCCTAATTCCATTAATTAACTGTTACCCCCATTTCTGCATTCCTAATTCTTCCATCATCTTCAATGCGACAGAGATAAAGGAATCTTCAACTTGGCTAAATAGAACTTTGACTATGAGGAAAGTTTTCAACGATTCATGCATGTTAATTAATTTGTTCTTCCTGACATTACAAGATGGAAGAAGAGATCAAAGATAAAGAGAAAGAAGAAAAAGAAAAAAAACAAGTGAGACGAGAAAACCTTAAAATTTTGATGGTGGTAATATCACTACACTTGGTCTGGTCGGTGTAATGCAATTTGAGAATGGCCCCCTCTCCCTACTAAGCTACCCTAACCACAACCATTCCCAGTACTACCCACTTCTTCCCCCCTTTGGCAAGATTCCAATATTCCATTTCTCCTGATTCTCATCACCTCTTAACTTCATGGGTATGCATGCATGAGTCATATATACATGTCACCATCATCATCATCATCATCAGTTAATGAAATGAGCTAGGTCTTAACCAAGCCAAGAATATGATTCTTCATTCGTCATGATAGACCATATATCTTAATTTAATTACCATGTATTTGGCAACTAAAATGAATCATACGGCCCCAAAAGCGTCTGGCCAATCACCCACTGAAATCCAACGGTCCTTGGGCAAATTACTAAAGTAGTAGTGCATTTACGTGAGCCCATGTAGTCTCTCTCTTGGTTTTCGATTCTATAAATAGACAGACTCGGAGGCTTCTCTTGAATCAGAGCTACTTAATTAGCTTCTGATCAAAAGAAAGGAATCAGATCGAGCTACTAAGAAGAGCTCTTTCAGCCCCATTTTGTTTGTTTGTTTGTTTGCTCGGATTCAACTTCCATGGCTCCTGCACCCAATATTAATCCTCCGATCAACGTTGGCCACATAGATGATGTGCAAGAGCTGCGAAAGACTAAACCAATAACAGTTCCAGAAAGGTACGTCCGCGACATGGCTCAGCGGCCAACGCTAGCCACCTCCTCCCCTTGTTCTTCTTCAGCCATGAGCATTCCAGTGATCGATCTTTCGGAGCTTGTTGAAGGTGGCGAAGATGAAGTGCAGAGAGAAGTACTGAAGCTCGCTTCCTCCTGCGAGGAGTGGGGCTTCTTTCAGGTAAAATGCGACTAACAGCTTACTTATTCCATGTATTTGAAACAGCTTCTGTTGCTTAACAATGCTAAGTTGTACTTCTCTAGGTTATAAACCATGGGATTGATAAGGAGCTGCTGGAGAGTATTGAGAAGGTGACAACAGAATTCTTCATGCTACCACTGGAGGAGAAACAGAAGTATCCAATGGCGCCGGGGACCATCCAGGGATATGGGCATGCATTTGTGTTCTCAGAGGATCAGAAGCTGGATTGGTGCAACATGTTGGCTCTTGGGGTTGAGCCCCACTGCATAAGAAACCCAAAACTATGGCCAACAAACCCACCTGAGTTCAGGTAATGCTTCTGCTGCATGCTAGGATATGATCCATCAGTTCTATCGTTGGTTACTGACTTACAGCAGAACTTCTGCATTGTTGTTCTAAAGCCTGGTTTTGGTTGCAGAGAGACTCTTGAGACATACTCAACGAGTATAAGGAAGTTGTGTCAGACTCTACTGAGATTCATAGCCTTGAGCCTTGGCCTGAACCAAGACAGATTCAATGAGATGTTTGGGGTGACTGTTCAAGCGGTGAGGATGAACTACTACCCACCATGCTCGAGGCCCGACCTGGTGTTGGGTCTGAGCCCCCACTCGGATGGAAGCGCCCTGACTGTGTTGCAGCAGGGAGCAGCTGGTAGCTCAGTCGGGCTTCAAATCCTCAAGGACAACATCTGGGTTCCTGTTCAACCGCTGGAAAATGCTCTTGTCATCAACATTGGTGACACCATAGAAGTAAAAACAACTTCCCCTCAAGTACTTGATTTGTTCAGCTCCATGGATCGATTTCATGGGAAGGTCCATCTGATGAGTTTCTGATTCTGATGACCATACAGGTTCTTACGAATGGGAAATACAAGAGCGTCGAACACAGAGCTGTGACACACAAGGAGAAGGATCGCCTCTCGATTGTAACATTCTACGCACCAGGCTATGAAATCGAGCTTGGCCCTTTGCCTGAATTGGTGGACAAAAACCATCCTTGCATGTACAGAAGATACAACCATGGAGAATACAGTCGCCACTACGTCACCAACAAGCTGCAAGGCAAGAAAACTCTGGATTTCGCCAAGATTCAGACCCAGGTCTCAACCAATTAAGACCCCACATCCCCCATTAGAACTGTGTATGGAGGTATTAGATACTAGCTGCTTCATTATAGGAATTTAATTTGTCTATAGACCTTGTGAATAGAGAAAAGCAAAGAAGAGGTTCTGAACTTTCAGAGATTGAATGAACTAAATATTTGATGTTAGTCTCTCTTGTACATGTCACCAATTAATGGACAATCGTTGGGCCTTGTTTGTATAAAATTTTCTCCTGTTGGGCATGATTTTGATGTTTCTGCTATGGATCGAGATTCTGTAAACGAATGTGAACACAAGGAGAAGTCACTTCTTGTCTTTGACTATTCGTCATTGAGATCGATCTATTCTCCACCATATCAGAAATCTTTCCCCTAAAATCAATATTCAAGGACAAAATGACTGGTGTTCCATTGTTCAAGGGGGATGGAGCTTTTCAATTTCTCAGTAGAGGGGGAGAAAATGTATAGAAGACCCAAGAATCATGTTCAGAGTTCAGACCTAGCAGTTTTTACTGGCTTGAAAGGATTGATTTGTAAAGCAGAATTGAGTTGGGCCCCGGATGATTCTAGGTGAAATGGCATTGAACATGTAACAACTAGATTAGAAAACAAAATTCAAACTTACCTGACCTTTGATGAGAAATTATTATTCTCTGTTGAGTCAAAGCTGCTCAGGCCTACCACAAGCTTCATTTTTTATATTACAAATCAAGAAAATTAAAAAAAGTTAACACTTCATCAGTTGAACTGAGTTGCTAGTGAGTAAAAAGAAAGGACGGCCCCCACCCCCCAAAAAGAGAGAAGAAATCAAAAACAAAAAACATGAAGGGTGGCCAAAATCTAAACAGGAAAAAGGTGACCCAACTCAGAGAGTACCAACAAGGCCTAGATCCCCCACCAAGGAGAAGCACTTACTAGTTACTACAGACACCCATTTAAAACCGGATCGAACAAGAACCGTTTTGGGTCTGTTTTTCGGGTCAAATGGTCTAACCTTCCAGTGTGAATGGACAGCCAGTTTTGACAAAAACAAAATAAAAAATTATAAAAAACAAAAGTAGCTAAAAACCGTTGTCTTGGTCAGCGGTTCATTGACCAAATCAACAATTTTTGGCCAAAAGGCTGTTTCAGGGTCTGGTTAGATGACTGATTCCTGATTTTTCCGGTCTAACTATCCCATCCAATTTGGTTTTAAAAACACTGAGCATAGGCCCACCCATGCCTTGTACCTAAAGTAGTCTGTGCTCGCACCGTTACTCACAGTCATGCATTGGGAATATCTCCGTATACTTGTATGCAGGAGATATTCCCAATATAAAGCTGCAAGGGACTGTGAGAACACCATACTCACAACACCACGTTGCAGCGATGGAACAGGTGATGTTTCTTTGTCAGTTTTTCACTGTGCATATCTCTTCGTATTTCAGGTGCTTTTGGTTCTTCAAATTAATCTCAACTCACTCATGTTAACCTTCCCAGGTATGTGTTCCTAGCTTATTTGAGTCAGTTTTCATACAAAGAATGTCCAACTATTCATTTGAGTTGATTTGGTAGCAAAATTATAGTGAAAGGGAATCGTTCTTCGCTACTGTGGTCGAATAAACCAGTTTCTGGGTGCCTCGCTCCATACCCAAAACCAGATCCAAGTAGAACTATTATGATGTCGGTCTACCTAGCGTTTTGGACCGTTTTTGATCCAAACCCAACCGAAATGGTTTATTCAACCATTGATTAGTTAATTAATGTTAAATAAATGTAATTAGTGAAATTTTTGAATAATTTTTAATATTATTAACTTACCACAAATTAGCAAAAATCATAAATAATCATCATTATATACTTACTACAAATTATCAAATTAGTTGTAGTTAATGAAATTAATAGTACTTAGCGAAATATCCACTATTTTAGTTTTAGTAACTACTTACTATTATAAACCCAGTTCGGTTGAATCCCAACATACACTCACCGACCATTGTTCCCAAGTAAGTCAATCTCATATCTAATGGTTTCTCAGGCTGTTTTTGGGTTTCTCACATCCATTTACTTGATCTGAAGGTACTAAGTCCTCTGAAAAAACTCATCTTCAGCACCACTACACCATTCACATATGTCGTGTTCGCTCTTTCGAGTGAACACTGTAGATGCGGATCGGGTGAAGTAGGTTAAATGGATTGGGTATGGGTCAGGTATGATCGGTTTTCTCATATCCAATTCAAGCCCGACCCATGTGACTTAAGTGACTTTGCTTTATTTATGCTTCAATTAAATCGATTAGTTATTAATCATTGACTAATAAACTGACTAATTATTAATTATTGACTGATTACAGCAAATAAATACCGTAAAAATTATTAATTATTGACTAATTACAGTCATATGGGTCGGTTCCTCTCCTTCCCATATGACTTACCATTAATATTTATGGAATATGACTGTTTATAACTTCTAATTAATATTAGTACTTATTGACTAATTACCATATTTTACAGTATACTAAGAATTAATATTACTGAATTTTGCTGTTATAAAATTAAAAAGCTAACAAAATCATTTGAAACTTAATTATTATTAATTTAAAAATTATTACAATTAGGAATGCCACAATTCTCCTTCTTCGAGTGCAATTTGGGTGGGTTGGGCTGGGTGACCCTAAGTCTCAAACCTTAAACTCAGGCTTGGGCCAACTCAAGGTCAAGCCCAAGTTTACCAACCCAAGCTTAACCCAACACATCTCGGGTTGGACTTGGGCGTGTTAACCTCTGTAACCCAATTATCGGGTAGAATAGATTGATAATATGTAGATATGTATGTATATCATAAAACATTGGGCATGCTTAGATTGGTTGGGTCGGGTTAGGCTTGGGCTATCTAAGGCCCCAAGACCCTAAACCTAAGCCCAACCTAAGTTTAGGTTAGGCCTTAGTTCTTTGGCCCAAGCCTAGCTTTGAAGTCCAAAAACTCAAGCCTAACCTGTGCAAAATCTCTGGTTGAGTCGGGTTGGGCTCGGTTTAGGCCCACCCAACTTGCACCTCTAGATCCTTTTGCTTCAATTTCTTTGAACAAAGCTCGTGCATCGCATGGGTTTGAAAATTTATTTTAATAATACTGAAAATTACTGTTTAATATTACTGAATTCTACTATTATAAAATAAAAAAAAAAATAACAAAATCATTTGAAACTTAATTATTATTAATTTTAAATCCCTAATCCATTTAAAAATATCAAAAATCATCATTAAATAAAAATTTAGTAAAAGTTAAAACAGTCTGATAAAAGTTAAAAACTAATACAATTAGGAATTTCACAACGCTCCTTCTTGGAGTACAACTTGGGTGGGTTGGGCTTGGGTTGATCCTACATCTCAAAACTTGAGTCAGGCTTGGCCCTACTCAAGGTTAAGCCCAAATTTACGAACCCAAGATTAACCCAATACACCTGGGATCAGGCTTGGGCATGTTGAGCTTTGTAGCCCAATTTTCAGGTAGAATAAATTGATAACATGTAGATATGCATATCATAAAATGTTGGGCATGCTTAGATTGATTGGAACGGGTTGGGCTCAGGCTACCCGAGGGCTCAACCCAAGCCCAACCTGTTAGTCCTAGGTTTTTTGGCCCAAAGCCCAACTTGATGCTAAAAAACTCAAGCCCAACATGGGCAAAAACTCTAGTTGAGTCGAGTCAGGCTCAAGTTGGGCCCGCCCAAATTGCACCTCTAGCTCCTTTTGCCTCAATTTCTTTTAACAAATCCCGTGCATTGCACAGGTCCGCACTAGTTAGAACTTAAAAACTCATGGCTTTCAAACATTATCATCTTTCCATAGCTTTCAAAATTCAATAATTTATTCATTTTCTTCTCGCCATCGTTATCGCAAAAACATCCACTCGGGGAGTTTCTTTTGGTGATGTTAGCAATGAAGCCAATGTTTTCCAACTGATTCAACTCCTTTAGAAAATGGTTGCTTGGCTTCCCCTGTTGAAGACCTCTTTTGGATCGCAGTATCGGGGGTCTGTTTTCAATATTTCAAAGAAAGTATAATGGTCACCCATTATGATCAATGGTTGACTTTTCATGTTTTTAAAACCGGACTGGATTGCACAGTCGAACTAGAAAAACTGAGAACCAGTCAAGTAACCATTCTATTTCACCTTAAAACCACTTTTTATTCAAAAACCTTTGATTTGGTTAGCGATCCGTTGATTTGGATGATCGAACCGTCAACCCGAACAACGGTTTTTGACTGTATTTGTTTTTTTTTTAAGTAGGAACAAGTCATCCATTCAAACTAGACGGCCAACAGTTTGACTCAGGAACCGGTCCCATAATGATACCCTGTCCTATCCGGTTTTAAAAACCTTGCAATGGATCTCCAATATTAGCTGTTTGAAGAAGATATAATTGCTATGTGTGATGTATACTTCAAAAGACATCCAAATGCATTTTGGATCGACTTTGGTGACTTCCAATTTGCATCTTAGTTCTCCAATCCTATCACGTCTAACATGAAGATACAAAGGATTTCAAGTAATGCTATAGGTCGGTTGTAAAGGATTTTTGAATATTTTTATTTTAATTATGGAGTAGATACTCAAACTTATAGGGTAAAACAAGGTTGCAAGTGAAAAGGGGTAAAACAAGGTTGCAAGAAAATAGGGTAGTAAAAATAGGGTTTTAAAAAATTTAGATAGGTCATTTGATGTCACATGTTAACCAGTGTTAACATTTTAATAATAGAGGGTATGTTTAAGTCTAAGTGGGTCAATCCACAAGGTATTAAGTCTATTTGAAAAATTCAGGGTATGTTTAAGTGAACTTATGAAAATTTAGGGTAAATTTAATTAATTATAACGAGGGTGACAAGAACATTAGACAACTTGATCAAATACACTCCAAATAAACTACCTACAAACAGTTCCCACAGGCTCTAATACCATCTCAAGGAACTATTCAACCTAAAAGTTTAAGATGTTAGGTGAGGTCTTTGAATATGTTTTTATTCAATAGAAAAAAAAACCATTATTTTGATTTGCATATTATGTAACTTGGGGTTAAGAAAGAGTCGAGCAACAAAATTGAAACCATGGTTTCTGAACCATCGTTGACCTAGACGGTCGGACCATTCAGCCCAAAAACCATCCAATCAACTAGTTCCGTTTCACCTCTAACCTGGTCATTTGTCAAAAAATATTGACTTGGTTAGCAACCCGTTGGCCTGGACAATC